CAATTTTCAGTGATGTAGTGAGCATTGTAGTATGCTCAAATTCAGGAAAAAGCCTTCTCTCTTGGTGACTTATACAGTAAAAACTGCCATATCATCAAACTGTGATGGAGGTCACACCTCCAGCCAGGCTTTTGGGATTCACAGTTAGACAAATGCGACAGTACACTGCAGTAGATCCATTCAGGCCCATGAGTTTGTTCTAGCTTGTCAGAACCCAGACCAAGCATCTTAATTTTCATCCTGAGAAAAGGAGGCTTGTCAAGAGCCAAGCAGATGCCACAATGACTGTAGTATCATGCAAAAATCTGGAAAATCTCCTGTCAGAGGCAAGAGGTTCATCACAGGATTCATTTAATCAAATCTAAGATGATTTTCCTGTACGTGAAAGCTTTCCCTTTTTGCAGTGAAAGAACTTCATGTAATTCAGTGTCACAGACAAAGATTCTTAGCTATTGTTTAGTTAGATACTACTGATTAGTGTTTTGGTAGCTGAGATAATGAGCCAGAGAGTGATTGTGAAGAGCTGTTGCCATGTTTGTAGGAGTAAGGGAGAGAATGCAAGCGGAGCGTTATGATGTCTTGCACATGCATGTGATCAAGTTGTAGGCTCCCAGTCACTGCTGCACCATGAACATCACCCACAAGGAAGACCCTGTTTCTATTTCTGTAACTGTACAGATGATGTACATAACTTGCCCGTACACAAGCTCATATAGAACAGCAGAAAATCACATGTATGTATACATGTATGTATATGCATGTATTCATCCATTACCAGACATTACAGTTCAGCCAACCATTTCAGTTATCACCTACTATTTCTAGGTCTTCTGTGCACGTTAAAGAATAGTTTCTTTAACAGCACTAAGACATTTCAAAGTCTGTATGTTATTTTTAATAGCCGTAGTACTGAGCCCAGCATTTTGAATACAAAACAAAGGACTTACAGCCCACTCAGAAATTGCTACCACTGGTAGATAAACAATTTTTCAAAGGTGCTGAAAAAGGTACTTTTCCTCTAAGCCCTAAGCTTTAGCAAGCACCTTTCAAAAAGTGTATCAAGATACATTTCACAACGAGCAAGATGAAATCCAGCAGCAAAAGTGACATAACTTGTTATCCATTTTGCAGCGGATTCTGCAGCCTTATTTATGCACATCAAGGGTTAGGTTTTTTTTTTTTCATGGCAGATATATGACACTGGACTATTTCTACTCTGAAGTGTGCTCTAATAGTTAACTTGCAAGATGTTCTTTGAATAAAAAGGGTGGAGGGAAATAGGAGACATTTGTACACAAACCTGAAATTAAAGATACTTAATTATCTGTCTCCTTAACACCAGCTGGCTTATTTATTTCTTACTTATGTTTATAATGCAATTGTGCTCAGCATTTTTTATGATAGTAGACTAACTTTGTTCTCTTTCTGGAAAGGCATAACGTTAATAGAACCGTTAAGAGACATTTTCTACCTGGTCTGTATTTCTGAGCTGTATGTGCACAAGGCAACAGATGAAAAATGCATGCATGCATCAGCTATAAACACAAATGGTATCTGTGCCTCAGCTTGGGCTGGTGAGAAGTTCTGTACACCAAAAATAACAGCTGAATCTTGTCTGCCCTTTTCTCTTCTGGCAAAATCTGACTTCAGATGAGTCAGAACCCAAACACTACCAGGTTTCACAAATGACCACAGAAGATGAACAGAATTACATATTTCTATTAAGAATATCCAGAGAGTACGTTTTGCAGGAAGTAATTTCATTATCTGCTGAAGTGCTAGGGTTCAGCATTTAAATACACAAAATTCAATAATGCATTAATTTGATCCACCTCATTAGCATCCAGAAACATTTAGTGAAAAATGACAAAATTGTTGCAGCTGATTTCAGACTAAGTGGTAGGCCCAGAGAGTTTTAAGTTGATAATTAATGCATAATACATATAAAATATGCTGTAAAATATATAATAAAATATATACAATGTCTCACATTTAACATACACAATGCATCATATAATGTATGATTAATACATAAAAAGAGGCAATATTCAAGATTTTATATCCATGGAGAATAAGTTTCACTTAAATTACACTTTAAAAATATTTCATGTTTCAGCTCTGTGTCTTGAAACAGCGAAAACTAACAGGGAATCACTATTTTACATAACAGGATACATCTTGCTGCAGCTCAAGTAAAACTAACAGGAGAAAATCAAGGACACATCATTCATCTTACTTCAATAAATGAATCAGATGGCAGAGAAACTGAATCAATTCTTGCAAATGTATGTTCTTTTCTGCAAAAATGTAATATCTCCTTCATATTTTGGATATTTTGGTATTTTCAGGTATTTTTAGAGCAGATCAAGATTCTCGAAAAAATGTAGTATGAGCACTTTTATCATTTCTGGGTAAACGTCATATCACAGATTTATGAATTGATTTTTTGACAGTTGCCTCCATTTACTGACTCACAAAAAATACTCTAATGCTTCATATAGCAAATGCATTCACAAGGAATAGAAAAACACTCACGCATGAACCAAAAACCCAGTCTATCATATACATTTATTACCAGAAAAGGCTGAAAGAGACCAGCAAAGTGCAGCTCTTGCCAAACACATTTGTGTATTTATGTTAAACAAAACCAAATACAAGCTAGACTAGATCTACAGGTATGAACAAGCCACCTTTTCCTTAAAAGTGCCTTGCAAACTGTACAATATGCTTTCTAGCACCGAAAGTCCTGACACATAAAAGAACTTAACTCAATCTCCATTTGAATAAAATTAATTATATTGTTTTGCTAACTATTCACGCAAATGGAGACAGAAATTAACACCCACCTCCTTGAATGCCAGACCCAGACCAACTGTGCTGTTATCTCTCTTATGTACCTGAGGTGCAATTGGTATCAAGGATGTAATCAGATTATAAGTACAAGAAGAGTCCATTTAAAACATTTCTTATATATGAGCACACTGAAATATAAGCCTCTTATATTGATTTTATGGAAATATTATTCTACAGAAAAATTATGATTTTAATATTATTGAAATCAGTAAAGTTGAAATGGCCAAAAAACCCCTATCATTATACCTTTAGAAGAACACCAATTACCAATTATTTAGTTTGTCTTTTTCTCGCTTAAAGCAGTTCTTAATTTTACATATACAATACCCATTTTTTACATGAAATGAAACTGATCCTTATTATTTTGAAGCTAGTACTAACCATTATGAAATCCTATTACATATACCAGTAGCTGTGTCTCTAGGAAATATGGTGCCCAGAGTGAAAAAAATAACTGTGGAATCATTAGCTATTAAATAATTATATCATGCTTTTTACAGTTCCAAAGTAGTCTTATCATCTCTACTACTAAACTTAAAGTACCTACTATTTATGTTCACTGGCTCAGAACCTCGATGTGACTGGTACAACAAGGATTCTAATTAGAGTAACTCTTACCATAACCTGATTGCCTGTTGTTTTCCAGCTTGAACAAGATTTGAATTTGAAGAACATACACTATGCTGAATATATGCAATGTGAAACAATTTTCTACTTTAATAGCCACACTGCAGAATGTGAAAATTGGCAATTATTCATTTTGCCATGAGCTAGTAACTGGAAGTGTGAAATTCTCATCTGTGAAGAATGGTACAGTAAATCATGGATTAGCAAAGTCAGGCACTCTCAGTGAAAGTGTTTCCTTTTGCTTACACCTAACAAACCTAATATATTCTTCTCTTGACTGCAAAAAAATCAGGTGAACTTTACATAATTTCTTCTCCAGAAATAATACGTTTTAAAGATCAGAGAACTAATCAATGTTAATAAAGATTTCCCTCAACAGAGTCTGGACATCTAAGCCTTATTCTTATTCTCACCAATTTTTAACAAGTTTTGACAACCTCACGCTGCCACTATAAGGATCACTTAATAAACATTTTGTGTTGAAGATAAAGTAGCTAGAATGTCTTTAAAAGTGTACACTGGCAGGGATTTTTCAGCAAAGAGCTATAGAGTATAACTAATACTTCCTGACTTTGAGTACATAAAATTGTGGTCTTTAATATAAATTGACTACTTTTTCCATGAGATGGAAGAAAAGAGACATCTCCATAAGATAGCTGTCACACAAACATCCACGACAGATGGGAGAAACCCTTGTCTGGAGGTTTCTCTCTGTTATCAGTCTTCCTTCAAAATCTATGCAGGGACACAGAATAACTTGAGCCAACATGTAACCTTATGATAGCTGAAGTAAAAAAAAGGCGAATCTCTCCTCTCATGTGCTTGGTAGGAAATTCTACATCATGGTAGTTTTTGTTTGTTTGTTTGTTTTTTAAGGCAGGCTGACAATTTTGCCTTGAAGCTGAGCACCAAACTAAAATTCTACAGCGGAAGCAGTCAATCTTAAATTCATGACACTGCATTACATCTGCCACACTATCAGAGACATGTTAGTTAGTCTGCTGCATCTAGAAAGCTGACAGAGAGTCCAGACTTTCAGTCTCTCTGGTAATAGAATTAAATCTCTATTGTGGAATGAGGAAGGTTGCTATCAGGTTACTAAGCAATCAGTGTACGTGTGAGCAAGATTTATAGCAGAAAGGATAAGGGTAAAGGAAAAGTCATTATAGAGTAGCTTTTGATGGGTAAGTAATGCCTTAACCCAGAAGTTTTTGTGTGTTTTCTTTTTTTTTTTTTTTTTTTTTTTTTTTTTTTTTTTTTTTATCCATAGGAAAGCAACAGGAACTTGAATTGATAGAAGCACCTGAACATAGCCAGTATCAGTTCTGCATATCTCCTGAGTATAGTTAACTACTGGCTCACAGTAAATATTCATATTTTTATATATACTCCAAAGTGATTCAAAGCTTTATGGATTCTATTTATAGACTATAAAAATAAAGTGTGCAGAAATAAAAGAGTTTCAAAGTTCATATTTTTAATAAATACTTAGAAAAAATATTATAAGTAATGTTCCATACCTGAGCAGAGGTTGTTTTGGATGAGAAGGTTGGTCACCATTTTGGCACGATTGAGTTTTTTTTGTGACTTGCTTGTAAATATTCCTTGCTGTTACTCCAATCCATAGCATAGTAGACAGTGTAGAATAATGCAGTACTATGCCAACCTAAAACAATAGTGGACAGTTAAACAGGTCAATAATAAGTGGATCAGTAAAACAGGACTTTAAGAAGAATCTTACTACATAATTGTACAGGCAAGCAGATTTCTTTTTTAATTGAATTTGTAATTGCATCATCTTTTTTTTCCTTTCTCTCTGATTCTTTCTAGCCACAGAGTGAAAACACTTTAAGAAAGCAGATGGAAACTGCTACTTATCTATCATAGATAATGTCTGTGTTACCAGATGGTATGTTAGGAAATCAAGATGTTTAAGACATTTGTAAAGAACCTGATTAATGACAACTTTTACACCTGGATTTAAAGCAATGTAATATTTGGCTTGTGTTGAAAACTTTGTTAGTTTATCATGACAATACAATTGAAAAAATATTGAAAGACACCAGTGCTTTTTATTCTTATACTATGTTCTGAAATTTTTCATTGATATATTTCACAATATCCAGTTTTAGTTCAATCTCACATGCATATAGCCATGGTTGACTTCTTGTAATGACCAGCTACTTGTATGGCATCAGTGCTAGTTACATAAAAAAAGATTTTTAGACATGTTTTAAGCAAACTCTCAGATTCTTGATAGTATTATTACCATGATGTCTCTAAGACAATGGTGTGTTTATCATTGAAAGCAAAATAAAACAGTACCTCTAAAATACTAACATGTTTGTTATGTTAGTAATTGTTATTCATTACTATGGAAACAGTAATTGGAATTTTATCCAATCTGCAATGCTTTATTTCATCAGCTAAGTTTCCATCTGATTATATAAAATGAGGTTACCTTTGAAGCAATAACCTGACATTTTGCAGTGACAAATAAAATATTGCTATAATTGGAGACCACATAAATGTTTAAAGAATACAGAAAATTGCTAAATAAAGCTAACACAAATCTATTATAATGATTTATTTGAATCAGTGTTCATTTTTGCTCAACAAAATAATTCATCAGTAAAGAAAAAAGCACATTAATTTTGTTTATATTTCATAATGTAGGATAAACTTGAATATAGCAGCAAACAGTATCAACAAAAAATCCTTGTAATTTTCTCTGGGACTTGTCTGGTACATTAGACAAGAGAGCATAAAGTCTTCGTAGCTGCTGTCGCTTGAGGTAAAAGAAGCAGAAATAAGAGAATGAGACAACTTTGTACCATCAGCTGGCAGACATTGCCAGTTCAGTGGCTAGTGCTGCCCAAACTTAGTGCATGTGCAGCTTACAGCATTTCAGCAGGGAATATGACTACAGGCTGGGGGGAGTGAAGGAGTAAGACAGGAGGTAGAAAAGAGGGAGGAGAAGGGAAAGGTAGGAACCAGAAGAAAGAACTGGAAAAATACTAGCGACTTGGTTCATAACCTCTTTCTCATTTAAGCATAACACTTCTACTATGTATTCTGCACACACTACTCTACACAGTATGCCAAAGATTTGATAAGAAGATGAATAGCTGGGATGAGTTCTGTGTGAGCAGGTATCAAGACATGAAATTAAGATACTGTACATGGACAAATATTTGCAAATGATCAGTTGCTTGAGTGAATGAAATTCCTAGAAATAACATGATCAAACAATTCTGTTGAAATTTTCAAGAGAATTCTGAACCAAATGGAACATATTGCTATATCACACATTAGTCACATGACCTTTCTCCATAATATGTCTGTTTTTCAGCAACTTAATTCCTCCTGATATATGGACAACTCAAGCAACATGGAAAAGAGACAGAAATATTCAGTACTATCTTTCCAGTAGTATCTCTTTGTCTTAAAATAAACATTTCCATTTGCATTTTTTCCTTAAGGCAGAGGATGTATCCTGATACTACAGTACCTCCTGATGACTGATGGATTTGCAGAACAGTGGTGACAATATGGAGACAAAACAAGCAGGAGGACACAACAAAAATGCGGAATTTTCAAGGGTGCACTGAGCTTCTACACTAAAACCCAAAAGAAAAGGTATTACTTTCTCTTTATGGAGATGATCTTCTTACTTTCCAGCTCTTTGAAATAGATTTTTTTTATTACTATCCAATAAAAATTTTTGAAAATAAATGCTTGTCTCACTTCACCTCAAAAATTCAGTTTCAAAGTGGTGGTCTGCTTTCTGCCTTTTCCTTTCCCATACCTCCACACTGGCATTCATGACAGGGAGATGCATTTCCCACATTCTAACACTGAGCTGCTCTTTCAGGCTGCTCAGACCTACACTACAAATACATGAGGTAATGGCTCAGAACACAAAAGGGGAAAACAAGACATAAAAGGGAACAGAACAAAGTCATTTATGTTCAATAAAATCTCATTTAGCAAACATAACCCTTTGGATTATGCACTAAAAGTCCAGAGTACGAGTTTATCTGTGTATAACTTGCTACTGAACTTATGCCTTTGCAAAGCTTTAACATGAGTCAGCAGTGTACCCTGGCAGTCCAAAGGGTCAACCATACCCTGGGGTGAATCATGCCCAGCACTGCTGGCTGGGCAAGGGAAGGAATTGTCCTGCTCTGCCATGATGTGAGCAAACCTCAAATACCATATGCACTTTTGCGTGACACAATGTAAGAGGGACATAAAACTATTAGAGAACATCCAAAGGAGGACAACTAAGATGGTGAAGGGTCCAGAGGGCAAGATGTATGAGGAGCAGCTGAAGCCCCTTGGTTTGTTCAGCCCAGAGAAGAAGCAGGCTGAGGCGAGGCCTCATGGCAGCTTACAGCTTCTCAAAGGGAGCGGAGGGGCAGTACTGAGCTTTGCTGGTTACAGCAACAAGGCATGAAGGATCTGCATGGAGCTGTGTCAGTGAAAGGTTAGGTTGGGTGTTACAATAAGGTTCTGCACCAGAGAGTGGTAGGCATGGAGCCAGGAGTTAGACCTGATATTTACAAGTCCCTTTCATTTTGGGATATTCTATGATTCTGTGATCCTATTTTCAGTACTCATGGAGCTTAAGTTCACCACATCATATATTTCACATAAATTTTTTGGGAAGGGCTACATTTTCCTGATGAAATAAGCAGTTATGATTGATATAATATTGATATCATAATATCCATACAATACAGAAAGAACTATCAGGACATATGCATTATAGTCAGCATTGCACCTAACACTGTTTAATAACTGCAGCTATTACGCTGAAAATGATGTTTACTTGGACTCTATCCTCAGAACTCATATTTGGGGAAAGGCATCAACCTACTGAATAGAAAACTGGAGTTTCTACAGTAAGAAGATGCTGCCTGCATGTGGTCCTTCAATAAATCTCAGTACTTCATAAATAACAAGATCCACATGGTGCAGTTATCATGGTAGTGATCAGTATACACATTTATGCCAAACACATTGGCGCAAAAAGCTCTCTTCAGCAGACCTAACCTGCTCACAATTTCTGTTTCCCTCTACTTTTTAAATTTTATTTCTTTTTAAATTAGCATTATTTACATTTTATTTCAGCTCAGACTGTCCTATATGGTCTAGCATTCTGATTAAACTACTAATTCTACAGAGTCTTTTCAGTTAAATGGAGGGATTAACGAATTTCTCTGTAGTTTCCTACACCACGGGATATATTTCATGATTATAAATCACTTAGCTGTATAAGAAATCCCTGCTCTTTTCCGAGGTAGAAAATTTATAGCAAGGAGTTGAGACCCAGAAATGAGATAGGTCTCATCAGGAAAAGACCAAGAAGTAGAATTTTCAGCATGCACATCTAAGTCCACAGCATACAAAGTCTTTAAGTGTCACGAGTTGCTGCTGGTAAAGTTTCTAGCCACTGACAGTCTTATTTGCATATATGACTAGCATAGTTCCTCTTGCAGCAAAGCTATGCAAAGCAGTGCCAAAGACCAACAAAAGCCTGTGATTTGCATTCTTCTGTATATATTAAAATGCCCTGACAAATTTCATCACAGTACATTATTTTTACATCCTTTAAAAAAACAAAACAAATCAAAACAAAAACTAACCAGAGTATAAATAACTACTGTTTTTCTCCTTCAATAATATTTTTGTATCCCAAGCTCCAACACATGATGCAGCTCCTAGCTTTAGGATCTCCTTAGTTTAACAGGATTCAAATCCTGTTAAATTAGTAGGTCATTGAATGATCATGTTACCTTCTGGTCTGGACACAAATATGAAAAATATAAAACAATATGATTCTGTCCCACTTTTCTCTCTCCTGAGTCTTGTGCCCTTGTGCCTCTAAGTCTATTCTTCATGCTTTAACACGTGGGGTGGGACTGATCATTCCAATCCCTTGCAGCCACAGCCTCATGGTTATAATGCTTTATAAGAAAATAGAGGCCACAAAACTGAAATCTTTCAGACTGAGGGTACAGAACTAATGCCTTCCACAGCACAGGGAGCTCCAGCTACAGTTGTGTTCCTGCCATCTCATTCTGAACAGGAAAGGAGCAAGTGTCCTTCTGCTCTTTGAAAGAATGCTATCGGAAAGCCTAACCCAGGAAGAGGCAAATGGCTGACTACATCCTCCACTGGCTGGCTCAAGCACCTTTCTGTCTGATGTAGTCTCTGAATCATACCATTATTCTGTTCCTAATGTAACATTTGCCTTACTTGAATGATTTTGGAATAATCTCAAAAATCTGAACTCTACATCAACTGCCATCACTCAGTGGTACTCAGAGTCAAATTCAAACAGTCTGTAGATAGAACCTAATTCACATAGGAAATCTGTAAAGAAGCAATCAGCTCTTTCAGATTGACACTCAGTTTTCTTTATAAAAGATTTGTAAAGACTGCATAGCAAACATACAAGAAGTGAGACTGACTAGAAAATCATCTCTGAAATAGGCATGCAGGTTTAAAAGTAAGTTTCAGATTTTTAGATTCCAGATAGTTCAATTTCTTTGCCTTCAAGGAGATACGAAAGTTCTTCCAGATATTTATGAGAGACAATGGCTCCTTTCTCATAGTATTAATTCCTTATGCGTAAAACTAGCCTGGGCCACATCATTTAGAGGGAGAAGGCGACAAGTTATTTTGGAATCAGCCTTTTTTTGTTAATTTTGAAGGATTAATAACTCATTTATCTCAAACATTTATTCATTATTATTGCTATACTTCATTGTTTCCATGCAATCTGCAAAGTAAATAACCAGACAATGATTGTAACAACAGATGGTCATTTGTGATCATGTAATTACATGACCATAGCTGCCCTACAAACTAATGTGCTACCCTCACTTTCAATCTGCAGATAAAGAGAATGGTAAATGATATTTCAGTTTGATAGAACTTACAGATTAATTACAACACAATTTACCAGATGTTGTGAGATATTTCTCTCAGAATAATTTCATGGGCAACTGTGTCACTTAAGTGAAAACTATGTAATATTCATGTGTATGTTTTGCAAATAAAATATTATAGGTGCTTGCACATTTTCAGGTACTGTTATGGTTATGCACAAGTATATACAAGAGGTTTCCAAAGCATCTCACTAAAAATTAGAGTAATAACTCTTTAACTAGTTATATAAGTTTTGTTAATAGAAATTATTGGGCTTATATTAAAATAATGTAAATATTAAAAACAATATGTTTAAATACTTAATATAAGTTATATACTGCCTACCATAGTAAAATATAATCCATTTCTAAAAATTAGTTTTAGAAAAGATACATTTCATAGTGCATAGAAACAGAAGTTGGAGTAAAACACCTCCTTCCTTTAGTCTTTTGCATCTTTTTTTTTTCTAACTTCCCTGTATAATTAGGTCATCTTGTGCTGCCAGTATCAGAGTAATAACTTGGACAAGCTTCTGAAACGAGTTTGTGTATCTGTCTGAAGACTTCTAGCATTTTCTATTTTGACGGGACAGCAGAAGAACAAAACATTATTTTGAAAATTCTTTATTAGCTTGTTATTAATATACAAAATGTTCAACCAGTTTTTAAACTAAATTATATTTAAGACCTCACTGGAACTTGCAGATTGTACTGCAATAAGTACAGGTACAATATTGTCTATACTTGCATCTAGCAATAGTAGTGAAAACACTGCTTTAATATTTCATAAATACATAACACAACAAAACAAAATTTTAATTAAAAGTTGCCTAGTTATGCTCTTTATGTGCTCTTCTTAGACAGGAACAATTCCAAGAAAGACTTTCCAAGTAGGCTTCCTGTTTATTATTCCTTATAACTATTCAATTTGAAGTTTATATCTCAGTTGAAATAGGTAAAAATTGTAAGAAGATTTTTTACACACAAATACAGAACAGTAATTTACATTCTGCTTTTTTCAGTAACCTTGCTAAGAATTGGCTTGAGTGCTTAAATGACTAATGCTATGATTTTCATTAGCAACATAAATATTATAAAGCAAAAATAAGTATATTTATTTTGAAATTCCAAGCATGGACATTCTTCCAAGCCAAGAGAATAATTCATTTTAGCTAACAAAAGCAAATTGAGCCACTGATGTCAGGGAAGGTTTATAATGGGACAAAAATTTATTTTCTGAAAGCTCAAACTCCATAACATTATTCTGGTTTTAATTATATGGAAATATTGTGACAGCAGTAGGCAGAATCAGTTCCTCCATGCATAAAAGAAGGAGAATATACATATGCTAATTTAAAAGAAAAACTCAGGTTGCAGAAATATAGGCCATTTAAGGAATGGAAAATATATCTATCTCAGTTAACATTTAGTGAAGATTATTGCTATCACAGATGTTTCTGCTGAAATCCTTCTCAAGCCACAGGGCATAGGCATCAGGTGAGAAAAAGAGAGCAAACATGAACTGAAGCAGATGAGTATGGGGGCCATCGCTGCTGTTGTCTGGCAAATCTGACTTTTACACCCAATTCAAGCCAATTAGAACTGGACTAGTAACAGGCAAAATACCCAGGAGAATGCTAGCTTAGCAAAATGCTTTAATACAGCTGCAAACCAACAGTGTTCATGAGATCTGGAACACTTCTACTGAACCCAAAAGAAAGAAATATTAAAAATAAAACAAAACTGCAACAAGCTCTCATCAGGCTTTAAGCAGGATAACTGAAATAACTCCTTTCACACCCTATACAGACTCAGTCCCTATGTTCATAGCAACTGAAGTCATGCCCATTCTATGCATCTCATGACACTATACCTCTGGAAAGGACAGGTCAAGAGATATGAAATAGCCCAACACTGCAAACAAAGGTCTTATAAATCACAAGTTTACTGTGCTTTGTCACCTTATCTTGAGCTGTAACTACAAGACATGATCGTACTAGAAACACTGGGCTATTTAGGAAACATCTAGGGCCAACCTCAGTCAGATTGCTTAATAATGACGTACTCTGAAGATCTTAAGATCCAGAAACAGCGTATGAAAAGAAAGAGAACTATCAATATTATGTTAAAAGATAGCTTCAAATTTCCATTCTTTTAGTAAGAATTACTAAGGAAGATACTTACAGCTTGACATATAATTGGGTATTTAATGCGATTGATTCCACCAGCAAAAACAGCAAAGGTAAGAGCAGTATGGAAACAAAAGTTGAGAAGCATGTGCCATCCTTTTCTACTTATTCGGATTGTACTGTTGAAAAATAACATTTAAAGATGAAAAAAAAAGAAAGCATACCTATTATGAAAATTAAACTTTGGAAAAATGATTAATGTGATAGAATTAAATTTGCTGATTGAATACTTATTCAGCAATATGCCATTAGAATTGTCTGATTTAAACAGCACTGAGGTCAATAATGGAGGATGTAAAAAAGTTCCTACTGGCTTAAAGGTTCCTCCATGAAATCAAATGTTTAAAGAAGAGTGATAAAAGCAAAAGGCTTATTGAATAGCTTCAGATATGCACAACTTTAATAAGACATCTCTAAAGGAATAAATGCAAGCTGAAGATCAGAAGTCATTACATTAAGTTCACTTAATTAATATTTAGCAGCTGCTACAGTACAATACATTCCTACTCTTTTTAAATTGCTAATGGTCTTTAACAGAAGTATGTAGTTAAAATGGCATTTCTATAAATCTTTTATATAAAGGAAAACGCAAAAATTTTCTAAAATCAAGATTTATAAGTCAAAGTAAGTTTCCTTTAACCAATGACAGTTGCCAAATATTTCAACAAAATGTCTCTTAGACCCCAGTGCCCTCACTACAGCTGTGTGACCACAGTGTGCCAGACAGCAATTTGACAGTGCATGTGGCTTTATGAAATTGTCAAGTTAGAAACCTTAAGAACTGTACTCAGGCATTTAGACATACATCTCAGGAAAGATACACCTTGGTAAAGGTTGAAGCAACCTTTCTTTTCTTCATGACTTCTCTTGTCTAAATCACGTACTACCATCCAGCAACAATTCAGATCATTTTTCCTTTCAGTGAGGGTTAGAAAAATTGCAGTACCTCCACATAACTCTGATCGTTCTAACATAAGCGCTTTAAAATGGAATTCTTACCTGTGATGGACAATGTAGGTGATAATGGAAGCAAACAGGCACAATAACATAACTGCAGTACATGCATATACCACAGGGTGCAGAAACTCCCCTGGGTACTGGGGAAAAGACAGCACTGTCTTAAAATCCTACGGAGAAAACAAAATGATTTAACATTGTTAGGCATGTGTGAAACTCTGAGACTTCATTTCAATATGTCCTGTCATTTCTAGCTGCTTCCTCTCTAGAGCAGGAAAATAAGATGATGAACTTTTTATGCAGATACAGTTCATGAATTTACAATGACATCAGACTGCTCCTTCCTCATCTGCATACATTTTGCAAGAGAAAAATTAACCTTTTTGTACAAGCAGACATATCTTAATTTAAAAAAAAAAAAAAAAAAAAAAAACAAACTGAAAAAATATACAGAATATTACATCTTGCCAGTTTTACTAATATCCGTTCCTTCAGATAACAAGAACTTCATGCATGTATTTTACTAGGGTATTAAGTACAAAACATCAAATTACCATAAGGGTCTGTAAATGGCATACACACAATTTCATAAGAACCTCTCAAGGAAATGGAAGACCTGAGAATACATCCAAAATATTGACTGAGCAGCTTCTGTACTCTAATTCAAATATACACTTCTATATTCCCAGTAGATACAACTCCCTCTAACCCAGTGAGCTTCATATTTAGTTGCAAATACTCTGCGCCTGTATCAGTTTGAAAACAGTTTGACAGCTATATTAACAGGAAAACAAAGGGCCATGTATTCCTTCTTGATCTGCTAGTGCCTATTGACAATTCTTCATGAAAAAAGTAATGGAAAACATTAGTACGTTTGTAACATTGATCATATCATATTTCCATTCTAATGTACCAGATCTCACAAGTAAGAAATGATGGAAAATTAGATCTGCAGGTGGGATGGATGGAACCAAAAGAAAACTGTTCCAGTATGAATCATTGTAGAATGGCCTGGGTTGAAAAGGGCCACAACGATCATCTAGATGTACTGTTTTCTACCTTCATACTAACACTCATGAGTACATGTAATTATTAAGTCAGGGGACAAGGTACAGTGCAGTTTGCCTATCTAGTAGTCATTATTTTTCTTTGTAGTAGCTTTTAAGTTCCTAAAAGTGATTATACTAGTTTCTCCAGATGTGTATTAATTTCAGACATAAACAGAGCAGCTTACAACATATATAAACAAGACTGTCAAAATGAACAAATAACATAAACAAGATGATAAGTAGGCATTGTAACATCCTTCCACCACAGAGTACCACAGTACTCCTTCAGCTATTGTGTGTTCCTTAGTTTGAACACATCAGTTAAATTTGCACAGTTGTCCAACTCATAAATACACTCAAGAGCCCTGCCTGGTACACCAGCACTCAATGTCAGTGATGGAATCATCTGTCACATAGGTATTCTCACACTGTCTCCTAATGTCTCTTGCTACTCTTCCCTCAACTACAACTGTAAGAGAAGAGAAAAAGAACTCTCCATTTGGTGATTTTGCCTGCAGAAGAATCAAAAACAATCAGCATCTTTAAGCTAATTCCATTTAAAAATATTCATTTATTATCTCTTTTCTAATCTTGCACAAGTAAGCAGTAAAAATTTTGAGTATCAAAATTTGTTATTGCCAACATAGAGTAGCCTTTTCAAGGCTTTTGTATATTGAAAACTGATTTCATTGTAAATATAACATGAATCCAACTTGTCTGTTTTTTAAGGATAATTAAATCTTATGAATCTGTCTAACTCCCTTGAGTAATCCTCTGGGGAAAAACAGCATTCAGAATACAAAGTTTTTTGGATTTTTTTAAACACTCTATGCAAAGCAGCATTATTGTACATTATGTTTTAAAAAGACAAATTTGCCCATTTTATTGAGCTTCTCATAGTCTGCATCTCTTCACCCCATACCACAAAGAATGGAAGATTCCTTAAGACAATAGAAAACAAGAGCAAATAGAAAAAGCATGAGTCAGAGGCCCTTTTGTTATAAAGTTAAGGCATCTCGAAGGATATAAACCTGGATTTTTGTTCCCAGTGCCAAGCTACCTATGCATTTTACCACAGAAAAATACGTGTTATTCAGAGTAATTTAGTAAAAAGCAGATATAATCAAAGGAGAAAAGAGTAAAATATTGCTCTTATGAATATAGTCACTCCAAGATTTTGTACAAAAGATTGGCACATTCAAGAATATTCTGAGGAAGACAGTAATCTTTTGGGGGAGTTGGTTTCAGTATCGTCCAGCAGGGTTACGCATTGCCGGTTAGTTCAGAAGTACGTGCCAGCTGAGGATTTCGATGAAGAGTGTGTGCCTCTTCGTCAGGTCTCTGGCTGGCAGCAGAGCTTGGAAACCTAGGTCTTTATGCCAGGAAGCATTTACATACATGCAGAGGAATCTCATTCCAGCAAATTTTGAGGATGTACTACGCTAAATATTAATTTCATGCCTAGCTGGTAAATTTTTTGGATCTCTTTCATAATCTTTGGTGGTTACACTCAGCTCAAATCTCTTTTGGAGATGTAGATGCTTATACACAAAAAAATTTTAATTTTGATTTTTAAAATTCTCTCTTTGCAAGCAGCCTGATTTTTCAGAGTACTGAACCACTTTTCCACAGCCTGTTATAAGAAAACCTCGTGTTTTCTGGGGGTCGGATGGAAAATTATGTCAACCTTCTAAATAACATCTCTGCAACACTTCCCTGACTCAACAGTTAATTTCTCAAAAGACTTAGGCTGTTGAGCTGGGAGTAATCCTGAAATATGAAAGTTTAAAATACTGTTTTCAGAACTGAACTTCATCAACAGGCAAAAGAAATTCCGCAACTGTATCCAGTCACACTGAAAATACTGAAAATAAGGTTTTTGTGGCACTGAGATCTTTCTAACTTGGAAAGACTTAAAAGATTCAGGAAATGCTTGTAAAACAAAGAGAAAAATCCTTTAACTTCTTTGCCACGATCTCTTGCTGCTTTTCACTTTTTCATTCACACAGTATTTCAAAGGTTTTCTTCCAGGATAGTTTCAAATATGTTCTGACTTTGTCAGTTTGATCTCCTCAACCCTAATTATCTCAAATAGCCATTCACTGAGTGTTGCAAAAACACACAATGAGAAAATTCAAATAAAAGGTAACCCACTTATGTTGTTTGAAATAAGTAGACTCAACATGACAATGAAGGAAAGGAATTTATGATTTTATGTTTGTTCAACCTATCTTCAGGTTTACAATTAAAAAATGCTAATAATAATAATCCATTTTATCTTAATTGAGAAGTAGCATAGGTTTAAGAATTTTGCTAGTGTTTATTTGTCAGATTTGAGAAAATTACTATTGACAAAGCAGTCTTGTCAGGGGAAAAGGATATGTTGTACACAATTACAGTAATACTCATCACTATTGAATTGCCATTCTGTTCTAAGAAAAATGAAAGGAAGAACAAAGGACGTTTGTCAAAACAAATTTAGCAGATTTTGAAGTTCAGTGTTGCTGTTAGATATTTTTGTTATCTCCTGCAGAGTTCTACTCACATATATTATGGCTATAGGGCACTACACTGGTTATAACATATACAGAAATTCTCTTGAAAAATTAAAATCGTGATATACAGCTCAGTTCACAAAAGAACATAAATACAAACTATTTATACAACAAATATTTATAATTAGATATACTGAAGCTTCATAACATATAAATTCATAATGTTACTCCAAATCAGAATGTCATATCATAGATATTTATAGTTCAGTGCCCTGGAAGGTGCTGGCCACCTTCCAAAAGAACCTAGAGTGTGACTGTCTTCCACATACAGGTAAAAGAAGTAAAGACAAAATAAGAAACAAGTCTGAATACAAAGTGAATGAAGGGAAAGATAAGAACAAACTCAGGAGCTTTATTTTACAGTATTTTACTCTCACCACTAAGACATACCTTCCAAAAGTTGACCTCAGAAAGATAATGCTGCATTATACCTGACTTTTATTTGTTTTATTTCCATCCATTGGCCCAACTCAGAGCAATGTGAAAGTGTGAGACCAGTGTGAAGAAAGGAGCTTGTATTTCCTTTCCAATTCAACCACCAAAATGCATTCTCTCTCAACTAGAACAACTGCCATGTAGAGGAATTCAAAAGCTCTACATGATTCCTCTCACTTCAAGCATGCTCATGCTTATTAATTATCAATCACAGTTGATAAATCCTTGATTACTGCCTTTTTATAAAAGGACTGTACAAAATCTTTAACTCTTCCGTGATACGTAAGCAGAAACAACTTTTATAAAAGCAGCTCAGTGAACTTTGTCTTTCTATTTAAAAAGATGATGAACAGCAACAATGAATCAGAGTATGAGCCATAAAATGGACAGCCAGATTAAATGAGGCTTCTATTTCATCTTGTTTCACAGCAGGATACATTATTCTGATAGCAATGTAAACCTTCAAGTTTCTTTATTGCTGCTCTTCAGTTTACACCTACTACTTCAGCTTACTGCCATTACCCAAAACATAATAATCAATTATGAATTTTTATGGTTTAATAGATTTGAGAATTAAAGATTAAAAAAATAACATTAATCATGACATTGTGGCTAATTCCATTGGCTACATGCCATACTCTATGTTCAACTTGCTGCAAGTTTGTATTTTAAAATATATTAGGCACTTAGGTGTAAATTAAGAAGATACACATAGTACTGTTCATATTATAAATTAATAGCTAAGAAGAACAATGATTTTTTTTTTTTTTTTTTCCATTTCTGGTATGAGAATTGAACTGCCCAGAAAAGCATAATTTATATTAAAGGAATCAAACCTTAACTTTATGCCACAAAACACTGATTAGCAAATAACATACTTGAATGAAAACGGTTAGACAAAGTGAAACTACAGAAGTTTCCAATAGTGGTTCAGAAAGACAGCTATTGGAAACATATTTATATGTATCTGCACACATATATGCACAAATAAAGTACATAAGGTCAGGCATCTTTTCTCTTAAAAGTGACCGTGAAATATGAGCTAGGGAACATCACATCATTTGCTGCCATATCAATTTCAAAGGAAAAGTAAGCCTCAAATTCTATTTTCTTGCGTCAAACAGATAAAAATGAAAGATTTACACAGGAAGAAAATGCGAAGTTGAATTACTGTATCAAAATGAACACAAGACCTAAACTGAATTACATATCAGATACAAAAGCTGCATTAAAAGGTGCCTTGGCACCTTGGTTGCGGAAAACCCGAACTGCTACAACTCATCAGAGAAAAATGTGCATTCAGCTTTAGAAACCAAAAATTAACTGTGACTCCTATGCCCATATACCATTTTTGCAAACAAAATGGAACCATGGAATTGGTTATTTGGAGGAATTAGTGAACATTTAATAACTACTTGAAGTTTAAGAACAGGCTGAACCCAACCAGTGAAGAAGCCATTTTGGGTGTGGCACCTGCAAAGTCAACAGGTGCTTTCTTTAATGAATTTAGGAAAGCACCCTCAAAGCAGAATTATTGTACATTCAGGGAAACAAGTGGATGAGTAAAAAAACACAACTCCTGGGAGCTGTAGAAAATGAGGTATATTTGATGTCATCAAATCTTAGGAACAGCTCTTAAATTCTGAGCAAGTCTGGAATGGGTGAAAAAATGTTTAAGTAACTCTGAGAGAAATAGGTTCTTACAAAGTGGACGATAATACCCGCATTTAACTTGTGGGTGCTAGAGCTTTGTGCTATGATTGGCTGCCATCTGGGCTCCATCTGACAGCAGCAGATTGGTATTCTCAGCACACGTCCTCGCAATTCCTGTCGCCTATGTTTGCTGTCCCTTACACATACACACAATACAGTATTTACTCAACTATAAACATTTCTGTAACACACACAAGCAGCGTCTACAGTGCAGTCATGCACCAGCATTCAGGATCAGTCTGGCATTAATAACAGATATCTATTTTTATGACCGGTTTACATTAAATTATTTAATGGTGCAAATATGTTTTCACCTACATATATTTGAAACCTTTCCTTTTTTTGTTTGCTTTTCTTTATACTGTGAGTAGTAACACATACTATTACTACGTGCATAAGCTCTCTGCTTTCATGATGGTAACTTTTTGTTAAGCAGAATAGTTAAATAACTGCAATGGGAACTGTGAGTGTGACTAAGAACAGATTAAAGCAGGCTGATGGCTTAGCACTGCACAGAAATATTTTTCTTCATGAGCAGCAATTTAGCAAGAGGGCTGTCAGCATCGCTATACTAACTAAAACTCCTTCAAAATCAACACAGACAGCAGTGTCCTTACTTAGGAGGGCAGAAGATGTTATTCCTTTCCATTTATTAAATGATTCAACATTGCGGTATGCCCGCAACTAATTAGTATGATCAACACAGTGCAGGGCAGGAACAAAAGCAGACCAGCCTCTGAGATGTGCTGATGTAAAAGCACACAAGAGTATACATTTTTAAACGCTGTCTTATAATTTATAACCACAACATAGTAATCATTCCTTGATGTAATTCTCATTTCTAAGATCGAATTTTAATGCTGTTTCTGATTAGGCCTGTCTCTGGATAGTAAAGCTGACCAGCAGGTTTATTCACTTACTAGCAGTTAAATAACTTTCTTTCTCTAAGGCTGTCTTATACTAAACATCATAGAAAACTGAAGGTCAGCTATCGGCATGTAAGAATGATACAGCTACATGTAAAAAGAACATTTGTTTATGGCAAAATAGAGAGAAATATAGGTACAATTGCTAAATCATATACTTACCATTAGCACTGCAAAGTTACTGAAGTGAGTGCTCTGAATGGTGGTAATATTGCCTGCAGAACTAATTATGTGGCACCCTTCTCCCCACCAGCCTCCATGTCCATCTAGAAGGTCAAAATCCCAGAAGGCTGCAATGGGGTCTATACCCCGAGCAAAGTGCCTCAACCCTATAGTAAGAGGGCTGGTGAGGTTTCCAAAGCTGCACCCATCTGCAAAAGCAACAAACTGTATCAGAGATATGGAGTGGAAAACCCTTTACAGATAAATGTGTAAAGAGATCAGATATAGTAAACTATGGGGGGAAAAAAAAAAACAACAAAAGAAATACACTTCGAATAGTAAAAATCAAAAGCAGTGTGCACATTCAGAAAAGTTTGCAATAGTTTAAATAAATCTGAATAACGTTTCAGTCTCACTGTGTGTCCAAATCATCTAACCAACCTTCACAAAACCGATTTTTTTTGTTTGAGATTTTTCAGTTAGAGCCAATGTTACACTACTGCCCATGAAACTGCAGAAATGGCACAGCTTCATTGTGTGATTAATAGCTCAGACAATACTGCACTTTGAAAGTCACATTTAAACATTTTTATAACATTAACAGAAATGAGAGCACTACTCAGAATCAAATAAATTTTTAAAAATTGCCTGGGTGAATAATTAATCAAATTAATGATTGACTAGCATATATGATGCATCACACCTAGACAAAAACCTGTTTTATGTTCATTGTATCAGAAAGTATACTGGTAAGTACTGATACATGCAACAGGGCACTACTCCTTCCCAGACTGTCTTATTTTTATCAGAGTCTAGCATGTTAGCACTGCAGTTTTCATTGGAAAGAAAAGAGTAAAACAAGGTTCTTTCCTATAGCACTGTGCTTTAAGAAAGATGCTTCTGTAACAACACAGTCAAAAAATAATAACCCCAAATTTGCATTCTAGTCATACAGCAATTGCATTTCTTTATCTGCAGGAGAACTGGAATAAAATCATGCTGATAGGAATAAATTCAAACATTTCTGCTAAAGAGACAGACTGTTCCCAGCCTCTCAGCATACAGTATACTCTACTCCTCTATTCTCTATACAATCAAGTAAACCTTAGCTTTCAGATTAAAGGAAATAAAGCATAACATTTCCTCACCTATTTTAGCAAAAACAGCTGGTGTGGCAACCGTCCTACGTTTCCCATCATCTGCAAGATTTGATGAGTTTCCTGTGCTGGGAAAGAGTTTTCCATTCCGAAAGACAATAAACTGTAGCTTGCAAGTTGCGTTATCAACAGATTGCCAGGCTGAAGACTGAGAGAAGACAGACTGTGGCAAATGAACTGAAGCTACTGCTACAGCATTCTGTACAATGAGAAAAAAAAAGAAACATTTAAAATGCAAATCACAACAGGGTTGCTTTCATGATGTTTTAAACTCCTGTACAAGAAATGTATGCTGCCTTCCTTTTCCAACAGACTGGAAGCAACCAAAGAAGCACGAGCAGTAACCATGGGAATAGGATTGGTACAGTGCATATTAAAAGGGAAAACGTTTTGATTGAATGTGTGAGTCTATATGGTCAAGCTCCCTGCTGCAGAGGTGAGAATGGTTCTTACCGTGCCTGCTAGAGGGTCCATCAACACTGCAGATCTGATTTAAAGAGACAACCTCTACCAGGTTTTCTCCTTCACTTAAAACAGAATCAGACAACTTACATTAAAACATTTCTCTGAAAGGGTACTTAAGGAGTAGTAAAATAATTTTATTAATACAAATAAAATAAAATAAGTCAGTAGAGAACTAGAAATGTGTATATAGCTCATTTTATAAATACATTTTCCTCTCTTCTTATATGGAAAATCAGTTAACTCTGTGTTATAGTAACCCAGGATTAAAAATCTTACAAGCATTGATATAACAGGAGAAAATAAGACAGCACTGAGAGAAAATGAATGAAGACTGTCAGATCGCTATAATGGCTTTGCGTCGTGATTGTGTTATACACCCTTTTACAAGCAGATAATTCCCTTACAGCGTATTTATAAAACAGACCAAACATTATGTTCTGAGGACTTCACTCATCAAGCATTTCTTTTCCCTGCCCAAGTATAAAACTAATCATTAAAGGGTGAGTTATTTACAAAGACAAACAAATGATGAGCGATGGGAAAATAAACAGGGAGTCTGTCCTGAGCCTTGAAGTGAAAAGTGTATGTATTTAAAAACAAACAAACTACAAAATGTTCTAATTTGCATTTCCCCCAAGGGCAAAGTATAGCTTCTGTGCACATAATTTACATAGATTATCACACAGTTTACTCACAGTACATGTGCACTACCTCTTTGAGAAGTAAAACCAATATTCTTCACCACAATGTAAAGAAACTTAACATTAATATATGCCCAAATGCTGGGAGAAATACACACGTGAGACATAAAAGACACAATGGAGATCAGCAAACTAAAATATTAGAAGCACCTAGTCATCACACAGCAAGTATGAGAGAAAAGTGTGAGCAGTCTGTAATGTTATTGGGATGTTTGAGTGAACAGGTAAAGGCTTGAGTATAATTTTCTCTTTATTATCATATATATTTTGGAAAAGTTTTGCTGTTCTAAGAAAAAAAAAACCACTCTAAAACAATCAATTTTTTCTTAAGTATTCAGAGTGGGCAAAGACACTTATTAAAAACAAACAGGAAAAAAACAGAAAATAGCAACACCACATTTCTACATTAGATTTTAAAATGAATGTGAAGGCTTTAATTGGAATTAACTGAGCTAAACATCAAGTACTTGTCCTCAGATTGTTTCCACTGCCTAATTCACTGATTCTAAAGCCGTCATAATTGGCTTTGTCTCACGCTTCTGAAAGAGACATATTTCCCTCTATGATATCCCAAAGTATCTGCGTAAGCTGAATCTCCAATGATACCATTTTAGCCATAAATTTGTTATTAATAAGTATGTACAGAAATTTTTAGTAGTGTCATTTGTCAAACCCCAAATCTCCGCTGACTTATCTACAGAAGTGTAAGAGAAATTATACTGTGATTAACTTTTTATAGAATTTTTTTCTTATTATTCTGTGCTAGAAAAAGCAGCAACATATTAAATTACGCTAATTATTTACTATACACAAACAGAGAAAGCTAAAAGTATCTGAATAAGCTTATGATAATGAAACCAATAGCTAAAGGCATTGGGATAAATAACAATGTGCCATGACTAGAGAAAAGCAGTCCTACACAAGCCACAGGAACACAACAGGTTTATAGCACTTTTGCTATGTGGTTCTCCTATATCGTCTTTATTTTGACTTGCTGATACCAATGAGAGCAAGTGATGATATGGATTGGTAAATGGACCTTGACTTTGACTGGGGAGGGAAAATAATGGGCTGCTCACATCCAATACACAAATAGCTGGCTTCTTTGAATTGCTTGATGCCCAGGTGCACAGCTGGGGAAAGATCAAGGTGAGGACCACCCCTCACCTCCTCACTATTGCTCAGTCTCTACCTATACAGAGTTCTTTAATTACACAGCATAAAAGACAGGAACTCAATCAGTGGCTTAGGTCTCACTGTTGATAGACTTTGTCTCCTGGGACAAAGCCTAATACAGGTGTGCACAGCCAACTCAGGGCTGCAGTGCACACCTTTCTCAGAGTGGCTGAGCAAATCCAACACAGCAATACAGCAATACAATATTAAATTCATCACATAGCGAAAAGAAACACAGAAAAAAATCTTTTCCTCCTCAGACTTCAGGAAAGGACTTTTCCCTATTTAGCTCAAAAAAATGTAACAAGAACATGAATATCTATTCTGTCCTCACAAGGCTCCCCCTGGAGTACTGCAATCAGGTCTGGAGCCCTCAGCATAAGAAAGACATGGAGGTGTTGGAGTATGTTCAGAGGATGGCCACAAAGATGCTCAGAGGGCTGGAGCACCTCTCCTATGGACACAGGCTGAGGCAGCTGCATTTGTTCAGCTTGGAGAAGGGGTTTCAGAGACATCTCATTGCAGCTTTTCAGTACTTGAAGGGAACAGGGGGGAGACAAACACACTTAGAGGGAGTGAGGCCCTGGCACTGCCGCCAGGATCAGGGTGTCCCTTCCCAGAAGATGCGTAAGACTAGATTGCGCAGGACCCTGGACCCTGATCTGATGGGTGGCAATCAACCTGCAGCAGGTGGATGGAACTGGATGAGCTATGCTCTGGTTCTATAGCATTAACTATTAATAATCTTTGGTAAATGATGTCTACAGTCAATTCCTGGGATACAGTTTAATGGTTTGTGAACAGTGCCCTTTGTATACCTGACATTTTAAACAAATTCTTTTGAGTGCACGTGGTCTAGTGGAGCAATAGGCAAAGGAACAGGGATGTTTCTTGACTGGACAATATACAAGTAAAGTCAAAATATTTGCTGAATATAAAATATTTATTTTATGTAAAAATTCATCAAAATTAAACTTCAAAATTAAACTGTCTGCTATGCCAGTACGTCTGCCAAAAAACTTCTGTGCTAGCATAGTCATGAAAAATGCATACATTGACGGTGCCCACACATTCACAATGCTGTTTAAAAATATGGATAAATATTTGTGATCAATTTTTACATCTACATCTTTTTTTTTTTTTTAATTGCTTTACACATTATTCACAGGAGAAGAATCTGAGCACTCAAGCAAACCGTGTTATTGCAGAAGAGGATGGATGGAGTCTGACCGTAGCCTCAGTCTTCAACTTCACTAATCTTATGTGTAGTGATGAAAAAGTCAGTTTGCTTCCCTTGCCTCAGTTTCCCTCTCACTTGGTGAAATAATTATTTTTCTTTTGTTCCTGACTCCAAACATGAAACACAATATATGAACAGATTAGTACTAATACCAAAGATGATAACATTATATTTGGAGTGAATCATTGTGCTTCAGATGTTTCAAATTCCACATAAATAATCTTCAAAATTATATTTGGATACCATGTTGCCACATCACACAAGAACTGATATGCTGTCGTGTGCTAGTGGCAGCATCCGAAGAAGCTGCTCCACCTCTAAGGAGAGAAACAGCACCAGAGAAACACTATCAAATGTCTTCATAGGATCTGCAGCTTTGAAATGACATAAAGCGCTGGCAACTTATATTTTCCCTGGAAAAGCTTAGAGTTTGTGTCAGCAACTTACCAGTTCAGATTCAGACATTCTCTGAACATTTTCAAACCAAAATGTCAATAAATCCCTTCACGACTCCATTTCACTTTTAGTCCTAATAACTGGATTGGATTGCCAATCATTATAAAGGGAAATTCTGAACAGTGAAGATTTTTTTCTAAGGAATATTTTTCCTACTGGAAAATGCCAGTGTTTTAAAATGCAAACTGTCCACAGAGATCCATCAATTTGCGCAAAAATAAGATAGAAAACCTCAAGCCAAGGAAAGCGGGATTATCAGGAGAAAGCCAGCTCCAAGGTTAATTCAGGTGGCTCCCAGCTCTTAAGACGTTTTGTAACATGGGAAAATTTCCAAAAAGTGAAATGGAAGGTTGTTTTCAATTCTCCAAATAATAACTGGAAAGTAAATTTTGCAAGAACATCTGAAATTTCATTTCTTTTTTCCATTTCTGTGCTAAGTTTTTTATTTGTGTGTGTGGAGTTGTTCAAAATAGACGAACAGAAACAGCACATATGATTCAACATGGATCCCAAAAGTTTAAAATTTGAATGGAAAGCCTCATTCCAAAGACAAAATGGTCCCCAGGATATTGAGAGCTACAGACTCTTGACATTTCTGCAGCTCATGCATGTGTGACCCTTATTAAAAACATTTTAAAGAAAAAATGAAAGATTAAAAGTGAAGTTTTTCCCCAAGCAATTTTATTCTGGTCTGCAGTCCATTCCTTATAATCAATGCAAGCATTTACATGGAGTTTTTAAGTGTTTAGGAAAGACAGCCTCTCGCCTTAGGTGTCTTTATGATATGTCAGCCCTTCCAGTTTCATGATCCTTTAAAGAGAACTGCTCCCATTTTCAATATTGCTTCCTGATTATTTTGCTCTACTTTTCTTAAATTTAGCAAAATATTAAGAGAACATACCCATTATCAGACAATCTTTATCAAGAAAGATACTTTGTAACACTGTGGAATGATATAAATCAAAATGTTTTCAATTCTTTCTTACATATGCGTTGATATAAGATCAATTTTGAGTTAAAGTGCACTATTTCTGTTTGAGATAAAATTTATTTCATAGGAAAGCATTCAGTTTTGAATCCTCAGAACAGCTGAAAGTAATATTTTTCTAGTTGTGAATTTCCTTGACTTAAAAACCAGTACCTTACCAAGCGGTCAGAAGA